TTTTAAAGTGTCGACGCGCCGCACACCCCCCACCCAAATGTTCGTGGAACACCCCCTTCCGGAAGATAGCCGACTTTGTTAGCGCGAGATGGCAAAACGCCATCACAACCAGGTTGGAGAGTTATAGCAGTGCCATAGAATTCTTCGTTCTTACAGCTTTCTTCGATTTAGGGTTAGCCATGAGAGGAATTCTCGCGCGTTTAGCCCTTGCGAGCTAACAAACTCAAGTTATTATTATTTGTAAAAATGCCTAATGGCTGACTACCTAACTACCTATAAATTTCCTGCCAGGAGGTACGAAGAGGGAGGTTCGGACCCGTCACAACAGACTTCAATTAAAATATCAACCATGAAGGCATGAATGAAAGTGGATCAACATATCCCGGGGGAGGGGTTCTCCCTGAAATCTACCTGGGACACTGTTACGGCATATATGAACATTTATCTTTGAATCATAATCTGTCCCAGGCATTGACCGCCGGATCGCCTGCGACGTTGAACTGAGTTGAACTTGGCAGGCAAGCCGGTGGTTGTCGGCGATTGTAAGCGATGAAAATATTTTATGTGAACATCGTCTGCGGACGCAACGGCGATTCGATCCATATTTACAGGTGGAATGGTTGAAAATTGCGCCCATTCGATTTGTATTTCGCGTCGGCGATCCATCGCAGATGCGCCGGGGACCGTCCAACATTTTCAGTTGCAACCGACGACTACGTCGCAGTTAGGTCGGCGGGGATATGAGAACCAGGCTTTATATGGGCTATATAGGTATATGCGGTCCTAAAGGGTATATGGTTTTTCAGCCGTTTTAGTCATAAATAGGGTATCAAATATGGATTACGCGCGAATATTGTCACGACACCAACTCGCGCGGGTCACGCGCGAGATGAGTGAACTCTCCCACCATTCTTTGCAACCACAGGTCGTCCATGTTGTTGAACCGCCAAAGTTGAAAGAGGCTGAAAAAAGGCAGACTAAAAGGTTAATTTGTTCTTATTCACTGTGTATTTAGTACCTTTCCTTGTAGTGCTCTCATGCTTTATTCGTATGGAGGACTTTCTCCTTATCANGAGGCTGAAAAAAGGCAGACTAAAAGGTTAATTTGTTCTTATTCACTGTGTATTTAGTACCTTTCCTTGTAGTGCTCTCATGCTTTATTCGTATGGAGGACTTTCTCCTTATCAGTGTACCTGGTGTAATTTATTCAGGGCTGAACTTCGCTTGGAGCTGGAGAACTCTGTTGGCGAGCGATTGAACTCGGATTGCAGGTAAGCTTTTTGGACAAACAAAATGTATTTGATTTATTTACATTGCCTACTGAAGTAATATGTACTTCTTCCCCTTTTGATCGGGTTCCAGCTTGCTTCTAAGTTAGCTTCGTTCTGCACGAAACATCATCATGTATGTCCCCTCCCGCTATATGTGTGTTTTCGTGAGTGTTGTCCCCCCCAACGGCGAAAGCTTCAGTATTATCGCGAGTGCTACCCCCCCACCACACACACACACACACACACACACACACAGCAGACAAGATCAAATAAATAGAATGGCTATATCTGCCCTAGAAGGTGAATAATTTTATCTCAGATGAATTATTTGTCTTTGTTTAATCATAACCAGAGGTTTTAGTGTAATTTATCTGGAATGAGACAACACATGGCAATTAAGCTTATGTGTAAACTGCTATATGTTTTGGAAATTAATTTGTTTGCAATACTTTTACTTGTAATGTACATATTTGTGTCAGTCAAGTTGAAACCACCACATCCCCTCCCTATGCCCACAGGGGAGGGGGTACTCCCAGAAAAATTGGGTGGAGGCACTTCCGAAAACCCTTGCTCTATTTAAGAGCCAAATCGATTCTTTTTGCTCCAATTTTTCCTACCCTATTAATTAATGTCCTGACCAAAAATTTGATACCCTATTTAAGTATTAACCCTAGCTGTTTCAGACCTGGCAACATTTAAAGTGCCCATAATGTCAAATTTTTGCTTTCTCATCTGATTCTTCACCAAGTTAACTTTCTCGGAAAAATTTTTTCGATTTGCATAAAACGCAATTTTTTTATAATTTTTTAAAGACGTTCAAAATTGCCGCCATTTTGGTCAACCATTCACACCAGTCTTCCTCGGTTTGAAGTGAGTTGTGACGTAGGTTCAGGGACAAGTGATTGGAGTCGTGACTTACCTGACTTGAAAACAAGTGGGAATTTTGCTTCAGAGTTGTCTACATTTAGTTGAAAATGGCAGTTATATAATAAATGGTTTAAACCTAGGAGTATTAGTAGTTTGTATCTTAGTGTGATTGTCTGGGTGAAGGTTGTGTTCATCTTTCCAATCTAAATATTGTATGAACTGATTGAAGTTTCAATTTTTTAAAATTTCTATCTGCATTCCGGATGTTTATAATAGAACAGTGGTGCAGAAGTGCAATTGTGATATTAATATCTGTTACTTCTGTTAAAACGTCACTCAGTTTAGATCAGTCATGACCCTACCCCATTAATACAGTCAACCCATTAATACAGCCAAATTTTCATGGCCTGTTGGTGACCGTATTAATGGGGTTCCACTGTAGGTTGCTGGTATCCATTTGTAGTCCTTGGTGAAGTTAGTTTCTGTTTGAGTAAAGTGCTGTGTTCAAGATCATAACTCTGAAAGGACTTTGGAAGGCTTCTTAATTTGGGGACTATTTCAACTGGTGTTATGCCACTATGCCATAAACATTTGTACAGTATCTAAATTTTTTCTATTTCTTCTTTTGAACAGCTGAAGACAAAATACCTGAGGACAAGACAGGAGGAGGATACTATCCACAAGCTTACTCTTACTAGAATGATGATAATTTTTTTTTTTTTTTTTTTTTTGCAATCCAGGACCAGGTAAACACTTGTGTTCTTATGCAATGATCAAATCAAGACTTAACCTGGTTCATTCAGGGGAATGCCCCAAGGGCATCCCTACAGGGTGCTCAAGTCATCAAATTCTACAGCAGAAAAATAATTAAAATGCACCACCATTTTTTTTGCTTTTTTAGTTAATGCACTATTATTACAGGATCCAAAATAGTCAGGGAAATTTTTGTTTTTCAAAATCAGGGAAAGTTCACCTGGGGAATAAATGGAGAAAATGGGAAGGTTCCCTTTTATACTGTACCTTTGCAAAAAAAAAATAACTAGACCAAACTACTGAACTAATTCCATTCAAATTAATACTTATAGTATGACACACTTTCAAAAAGTGACCACCAAACTAACTACAGTGTAAGAACGGACATTACTCAACTTATACCAGCAACTACTCACCCCTACAGTAGTCACTACGGTATTTCTTGACCTCAACAGAACTCACAGGATGTTCTTCAATGAGCCTCAACACAAACTTCACCTAAAGTAAACCAGTTGAATCAGACCATAACTGATCAGTCTCTGATTACTACCTTTTTATAATGGCTTGACAGGTTCTCAAAGCATCAGTGCTTTTACACTAGACAAACTACTTAATGAAACTTGTCCACTTTTTTTCTTTGTGGTTGGCAACTTGACAGTTGTTCCTTTGGGCACCTCAGAATGGGACATACTGTAATGACTTCCTCAATCCACCCCCCTCCCCCAACTCTTCAACCCTTTCATGATTCACTATTA